GCATACTGCGGCCGCCAGATCCCCAGGTCCACCGAGAATCCTCCGAGACTCCCGCCTTGCCCGTTCGACGACAATGACAGAACCGGACAGAACGGAGCATAATACCACACATCGTGACATAACATGACAACACAGCATACCATAACATACCGTATCATAACATAGCATAACATAACATATCATCTATACCAGTACAAGTCATTACACGGCAGAGCGTGGCATACCGTATTGAAACATTGCAGAACATAGCATATCATAATACCACAGAGCAGGCCACCATATGACAGACCACATTAAAACCTCACACATCGTAACGCCACGTGCAATGACAGACCGACAGACCAGATCATACATGACAGAACAGACCACCACACATCACAATAACATAGTAACACATATAGCAGCAATCCATGGCAGACCATTGTTGAGCAGAGAGTATCATCGCACAGCATACCAACGCATGCACTGACAGAGCGGAGCATACATAGCAGAGCAGAATATTACGCATCGTAGCAACCCCTAGCACATCATAACATAGCGTACCATAGCAGAACAGATCACACACTATCACGACCTTGTATATAAGACCATAACACAGCTGCACAGAGCATACCATTCCATGCCATGGCAAACCATACCATGGCATAGCGCGACAGAGCACCATTCAAACCAACAGGGCACAAAGTAACATTTACATCATAACAGGGAAGATCATGCCATAATATGAAAAAGGCGCAGATCGTAACACGGCATGCCAACACATGCAATGACAGAGAGGAGCATACACAACAGAGCATAACACCACATATCATAACACAGCATAGCATGGCACATCACACTCATAACATAACTCAGCATACCATAACATACCATGGTGCATCGTACCACATTATCACACCACATGTCGTTCCATATAATACCATGGCGCAGCATACCATGACACGGCGCGGCGTACTAGATTCCAGCGCAGCAGAACACAGCATAGCACAGCAGCGCATGAACACGCACGTCACGGCACAGCAGAGCACGACACAGCACAGCACCGAACACAGTGTGCCACAGAAGCGCATACCATGACATGGCAGAGCATAGTCGAGCACGTCGTTCTCTGGCACGCCATACCCCACAAGAAGTGCTCTTCGACCGCTACCACGACGGCAACGAACGTACCGTGACAACCTGGTTGTGCCGCAGCGGAGCCGCCGCGCGAAGCCCCTATACCCTGCGAGCGGGCCTCCTGGGACTCCTCCTCCTCCTCCTCCATTCTTTTTCAATATAAATGATTCCTCCCTGTCGTACCCCGAGGCCAGTTTTTAGGGCGGCCCGGGCGTTTCGCCTGAGAATTCTTCATCATGCATGATTCTGAAGCTTTAAACGTGTAATAGCTTCACAGATGGAGGGCGGGTGTTCAACATGTGGCTCTCGCCTTAGCGCCGCGCACATTCGTTTTGGACAACATTCGTTTTGGACAACATTCACTTGAGGGCGAGTCGTTTTCAAAATGTGGCTCTCGCTTCCGCGCCGCACAAACTGGTTTCAACACTTCGCAAGAGGTTCACGGATTGAGGGCAAGTCGTTTTCAAAATGTGGTTCTCGCCGTAGCTCCGCGCACATTCGTTTTAAAACTTTGTGAGAGGTTCACGGATTGAGGGCGAGTCGTTTTCAAAATGTGGTTCTCGCCTTCGCGCCGCGCGCATTCGTTTAAAACCTTTGCAAGAGTTTCCACATGTGGCTCCCGCTTTAGCGCAGCGCACACTCGTTTTAAACATTCGCAAGAGTTTCACGTATTCCCATCACCAACGTACCAGAAATGGTGTTCGGAAGGGTTCAGGATTATGCGGGTACAACAGTTACGTTGGTTCCCTCTGTTGAAATCCTAGGAGTAGCGTTCTGGTACGATTCAGGATCGCCAACACTCAACAGTCAGGTTGATCCGTGGCGTGGACATCCCGAGAACAATGTTCTGGCATGCTTCAAGGTCTTCAAACGGTTGTCTTCCAACGAGGCAGCTCCCTTAATGGAAATGAGCCGTTGTAGGGGTCTTTGAAGAAGGAGCTTGGAACGAGGAGTAATTCCAACATCGTTGATGGCTCTTGGGTTTACACTGGTCCTCCTCCTCCTCCTCCTCCTCCTCCTCCTCCTCCTCCTCCACCCGTCCCTCTACCCTCTCCTCGTTTTCCCCTTTTTGGGCCTCTGGGATTCGCCTCAAAATCCTGGTCAGCACGCGCCCAGGGAGAGCTCGGGGGAGTGGCGGCATCTGTCCCCTTTCGGGCCTCCCCAAGGACGGCGCCCGAAGCGAGACGGGGCCCCGAGACCCAGGGGACTGGTACCCGCGAGGCAAGGCGGACCTCCACGCCCGCCGAGACCTGGCATCGCTTGGGCGTGTTCATCTCTCCTCGGCGAGAACCCTCGAGGACCACCCTGGGCCGTCGGGCAGAAAAACCACGCACGGAACCGAAGCACGCACGGGACAAGGGAGGAGGAGGAGGAGGAGGAGGAGGGAGGAGGAGGAGGAGGAGGAGGAGGAGGAGGAGGAGGAGGGGGAGGGGGAGGGGGAGGGGGGGAGGGGGAGGGGGAGGGGGGAGGGGGAGGAGGAGGCGGAGGCGGAGGCAGAGGCGGAGGAGGAGGAGGAGGAGGAGGAGGAGGACGTCCGAGCGACGGCAAGGGAGGCCTGGGGAGGAGCCGCCGGGGGAGGGCCCGGCAGCACGGGAGCGGCGTCCCTCTGCGTGGTGCGTCGGTCGGCCGCGCGAGGGCGACGCGCGCGCACTCTGGCCGCTCGCGGCGGGGGCGCCGTGGAGCGGCGCTGCCCTGGCCACACGACGGCGGGGGAGACGATCTACACGAGACGATGGCTTGGCATCGCTCGGACGTGTGCATTTTCCCTTCGGCGAGGACCATTGAGGAGCATCCTTGATCATCTCGCGAAAAAAAAAAACACGCACGAAACCAAAAAAAAACACAGGAAATGGACGTCCGAGCGACGGCCACTGAAGTTGGTGTGCTATAGTAAGCAAGCAGTGGCGAAGCGTCCCGGCCCGCCTGTAGCCCCACCAAGCAATGTTCTAAGAACCTTTTGTGGATCCCACGCAGTGTTCTTAGGACATTTCTGGCTGGGGCTGCCTTGTTTTAACACATCGGGCTTATGTCCTAAGAACATTGTTTTGTTCTTAGAACATTTTCGGGTTCTAGGAACATTTTGTGGTAGGGCTATAGGAATGCCGGGATGGTCGGTCCCTGCTCAAAGTCAAGACGCTGAAATAAGGAGCAGTGTGGGTTCGGAAGGGGCTCGGTGTTCCTCAGGTTCCTCCAGTGCTGTTCCTCTTGCCCCCCTGGGGCACGGAGGCGCTTACATAGCCAAGAAGGGGCTTCGCTCCTTATTCAGCGTTCCTTCTTTCAGCGGCCTGACTGTATCGTTTCGGGTCGGACGCAGTACAGTCGAGACCCGTGCCAAGAAACACCCTGCCCGCCTTCAGGGTGCCCAGGACTTCCTGGTGTTCGATTGCTTCGCGATGGACAGCGCAACGTTCCCACACCAAGAATCGATGGACGTCCTGGGATCTCAGGGCTGGGTTTCTTGTGGAAAGCTTCTTGTGGACTGGCCTCCGCTGTACGTCCCTCTGCGTCCCCAGGGAGGACGAGGAGGCGGAGGAGGAGGAGGCGGAAGAGGAGGAGGAGGAGGAAGAGGAGGAGGAGGACCAGTGTAAACTCAAGAGTCATCAACGATATTGGAATTAACCCTCCCTCCAAGCTCCCTTTTCATAGGCCCCATACAACGGTTCGTTTCCATTGAGGGAACTGCCTCGTTGGAAGACAACGAAGCATGCTAAAACATCGTTCTCGGGATTTCCACGCCACGAATCAACCTGACTGCTGCGCCCTGACGATCTGGCATCGTGCCAGAACGCCTGTGGGGGGACTTCAACACCGCGAATCAACATAACTGTTGCGCCCGCATGATCCTGAATCCGTCCCAAACACCATTTCTGGTACGTTGACCATGGGGGCCCGTGGAACTCATGCAAAGTTTTGAAACGAATGTGCGTGGCATTAAGGCGAGAGCCACACATTGAAAAGGAGCCGCCCTCAATCCGTGAAGCCCTTGCTAAGTTTTGAAACCATATGCGCGGAACTAAGGCGAGAGCCACATTTTGAAAAGGAGCCGCCCTCAATCCGTGAAACTCTTGCAAAGTTTTAAAACGAACGTGCCCGGCGCAAAGGCGAGCGCCACATGTTGAAAACGACCCGCCCTCAATCCGCGAAGCTCTTGCAAAGGTTTATTACGAACGTGCGCGGCGCTGAGGCGAGAGCCACATTTTGAAAACGACCCACCCTCAATCCGTGAAACTCTTGCAATTGTTTTTGACGGGTGTGCGCGGCGCAAAGGCGAGAGCCACATTTTGAAAATAAACCGCCCTTAACATGTGAAGCTCTTGCGAATTGAAAGCGCATGTGAGCGGCGCTAAGGCGAGAGCCACATTATGCATGGTGAAAACAACGCGCCCTCCATCTGTGAAACTGTTGCCATTTTTAAGCTTCAGAGTCATAAGTGGTGAGGGAGTCTCAGACGAAACGCCTGGCCAGCCCTAAAAGCTGGCCTCGGGGTGAGACAGGGAGAAGAGATTCATACGGAAAAGGAATGGAGGTGGGGGGGGAGGGGGGGGTGGGGAGGAGGAGGAGGGGGAGGGAGGAGGGAGGAGGAGGAGGAGGAGGAGGAGGAGGAGAGGAGGGTGACGAGGAGGAGGGGGGAGGGGGAGGAGGAGGAGGAGGAGGGAGGAGGAGGAGGAGGAGGAGGAGGGAGGAGGAGCAGGAGGAGGAGGGGGAGGGGGAGGAGGAGGGGGAGGAGGAGGAGGAGGAGGAGGAGGAGGAGAAGGAGGAGGAGAGGAGGAGGGAGGAGGAGGAGGAGGAGGAGGGGAAGGTTGTGGAGGAGGAGGAGGAGGAGGAGGAGGAGGAGGAGCCAGGACCCCCGGGGCGGCAGAGCGAGAGAGCCCTCCGCGCCGGAGGCGCCACGGCATGCAGGGCACGTGTGCAGCCCTAAGCGTGGAGTGGCAGCCCAAGCCGGCCATCACCCTGTGGGACCTGGGGCGCGAGGGGAGCAGGCCACGCCGCCGCGCGCGCGGCGATCATCATCATCATCATCATCATCATCATCATCATCATCATCATCATCATCATCATCATCATCATCATCATCATCATCATCATCACCATCATCACCAGCATCACCATCATCACCATCATCACCATCATCACCATCATTATCATCATCAGCATCAACATCACCGTCATCATCATCACCATCATCATCGTGCCTCCTCCTCCTCGTTCCTCCTCCTCCCTCTCCTCCTCCTCCTCCTCCTCCTCCTCCTCCCGGCCCGCCTCGGCGCGCGCCTGCGGGTCGGAGATGTGCGCACTCCCTGTTGGACAGGGCCTTCAGGAGCAAGTATAGGCGGGGGGATGGGCATAGTTCGGGGGTGGACAAAACCCCCAACAGTGACACGTCGATTAGTGAATTGTCCGTTTTCGGTTCTCGAGAGGGCGTCGTGGCCGTTATTTTCCAGGCTTGCGCCCGTCAGGTTTGGGCCTCAGGTCGTTTTCACTAAACCACGTTTTACTAAAGTGAGGTCTGTCCATCCCCGAATAGTGGGGGACGCGTCGACCCCCAGTCGCCCACTGATCACCGATAGGGGCCCGGTAGCCCCAACCTGCCCAGGAACGTGCGGACTCACGATCGGGGGCCTCTCGCCCACCTATCTGCGACGTATCGCCGGTTCCAGGTGGATGCTTCCCCCACTGTGCCAGTCCACCCCTATCGTTGCCCCTTAGGAACGGGGTGGGGACCAGTCACCGGCGCAAGACGATCTTGACCGCAACCTTGGAGACCAATCCACCAGAGCAATCTCATATTGGCCGCCCTTGTTCAAGCAGTGGCGAGGCGTCTTGTCCTGCCTTTAGGCCTACCAAACAATGTTCTAAGAACCTTTTGAAGTGGTTGGCACGGAATGTTCTGGGAGCGTTTCTGTTCGCGACCGTCTTGGCTCAATACATCGGCTTTCTTTATGTTCTAAGAACGTAGTCTTGATTCTTAGAACGCTCCTCTGTTCTAAAGGTATTTCGTGGTAGGCGAATCGGACTGCTCGGACGGCAACACCATGCTCAGTTTCCAGACCCCCGGCGTCGTGATTTTTTCACCACGCCGACCCGAGAGGTCTGCACCTCCTCCCTCCTCCCTCCTCCTCCCTCCTCCCTCCTCCTCCTCCTCCTCCTCCTCCTCCTCCTCCTCCTCCTCCTCCTCCCTCCTCCTCCTCTCCTCCTCCTCCTCCTCCTCCTCCTCCTCCTCCTCCTCCTCCTCCTCCTCCTCCTCCTCTCTCCTCCTCCTCCTCCTCCTTCGCGCCTCCTCCTCCTCCTCCTCCCGTTCCCTGGGACTGGTCTTTCATCCCGAGTCTTCTTGTCGACGGCCCCGAGGCCTGGTATTAAGGGGCCCCAGAGGCCGAGGACAGCGGAAACGATCCCGCCGCGATTTGTTCATGACTCGAGGCAGTTTGGGTTGGAGCCTGTTTTTTTTAGATTCTGGCAACAGTGCTTGCATGGAGGGTCAACGGCACCGCGACGGGTATTTACTGCCGGGTACTTTTCAATTTTGCCGAAAGTTGCCTTTTTCGGGCCTCTTTCTGGCAGTGCAGCGTTGCCCACATCGGGAAGGGTTGGGTTCGCTGGGTCACTGGCCGAAGTACCCGTTAGTGGAGTCCCCGTTTGATGGGCGCTGAGAGGGGGGGGGCGAATTTGAAGCAGGCCGCAGACGATTTGCACGTGCGGAAATCGTTCACGTCGAAAGGCCTTTGCACGCCAGCATGCCTTCGAGGAGGGGCGAGGGCGAGGGGTGAGGGGGGTGGCGAACGCCATGCAAGCAAACCTGCCGGACCAAAAACGGGCTCTTGCTGCCTCCCCCCCGATAGCTCTGACTCACCACCCACCAAAATACCCCAACCTAACCCGAAGGCCTGAAATTGACCTCCATTTCCAGTGGGGGGGGGGGTCGGGGAACATCGAGAAAACACATATGGAACCCGTACCCCCCCCAACCCGAAATTCGGGTCGTCGGGTTGGGTTGGGGTGGTCTGGCAGGTAGTCACTGACACCCCCCCAGCGGGCGCGCGGCGCGGCGAGCCAGGGCCGACTTGCCGCAGGCTGCCGGCCTCGGCCTGCTGCCCTGCGCTCCTCGTGGCCTGTGGCGGGCGTCCGGCGCCGGGGCCTCCTCTTGGTCGCCGCCTCGGCCACCGCGCGCAGCTCCCAGGGGGGAAGAGTCGGCACAGACGCAAACCGCAGGGGGCCACATGCGCACCCTACCCCTAATTACCCCCAACGATTTCTGAGGGGGAGGGGGAGGTTCATTTTGCTCGGGGGCTCCCGACCGAAGTGAACCCCACCCTCCCCCTCAGACATCGTTGAGGGTAGGGGTAACTGGGGTTCGCATGCGGCTCCCTAAATAAACGTCGATTCCCAGGAGCTGAGTTGTGCTTCAGAACTTCAGGCCTCCCAGATGGGGTCCGAGCAGATTGGGTCGGAGGACAGGATCGCGCCGCGTCGCCGATGCATCGCCGATGCGGCCCGATGTGGAGCCCGACTTGCTCCACGTCGACGTCGCCGATGCACCGCCGATGTCGACGTTGCATCGCGAGTGCATCGCCTATACATCGCCGATGTATCAGCGATGCGGCGCGATCCTCCGACCCCATCTACTCCGACCCCATCTAGGAGACCTCTAACAAATAAGCGTCGATTCCCAGGGACTCAGTTGTTCTTCAAAACGCTGGGCGCGTGTTTCTTGTCCGTCTTCAGCTGTTCGTGTTGCGGTCGACCACAACAGAAACACATGGCAACCCAAACAACAGAACAACAACGAGCCACGATGGGCCCAGAAATGCGCGGAGCACAGCAACCCAAGACAGAGGACAAAACACGTCAACCCAACACAGAAAGCGATCAACACACGTCAGCCAGAAACACAACAAAAACGACTAACACACAAAGACATAACCGATTAACCCAAACCAGAAAACACACACAAAACAGAACAACAGACAACATACAACGATTAGCACACAAAAAACGTCAACACAAAACAGAAACACACGGCAGCTAGAAACAATCAACACCCGGATCGCAAAACGAACCGAAAGTTGCGAGACGGTATTTCCAAAACAGAGAGCAATATTCACGCACACACGCACAAAACAGCGTCGTTTATTAGAACATTGAAGCCCAGGAAAATGTCGTCGCGCCGTTTGTTCCGACGCGCGGCCTTACGTTTTGGCGATGCGCCGCTGCCACCAAGGCAAACTCCGCCTCGGACGCGGTGGGTTCGCCATGGGGTTTGCCGCGGCGCCGGCTGCGTCTGCGTGGGCACGGGATGCAGGGTTTGCCGTGGGTTTGCTGTGGTGTCGGCTTCGTCCACTTGGGCGCGTCGGGAACAAGCGGCGCGGCGACATATGGGAACATATAGGAGGACCTCTTCTGTCCCCAACATTGGTGGCTTGTCTTGTGCCCGACGCGTGCTCGATGCGGACTCGACGCGGATTGGGCGCGGACTCGACGCGGATCCGACACGGATTCGACATGGATCCCACGAGTCCGACATGGATTCGACACGGATTCGACCCGGATATGGCCGCGACGAGACAGACAAGGTCCCCCGAGGATGCAACAGAAGGGAGGTGGAGGGGGAGACGACCAAAAAACATGCCGAGACAGACTGGGCGCCTTGGGCTTCGTGTGCGCAGCTGTATTGGTGCGCCCCTACAGGCCCCACTCAGCAGCTCTGGGCCAGTGCCCCGTGGACGGGCTCTTCCTCCAGCGCGGCGGCCTGGGACCTCCGGCTGTGGCCGAGGCCCGACTGGGGCGGAGCGAGCGAGCGCGAGGCGCCGCGCGCCACTCGGCGCGCGGACGGTCGAGAAACGCTGCACCGCCAGGGCAAGGAGGTCGGTGCGCAGCGCGGCCGCCAGGCGCAGACTTGGCCGCAAAAGGACGCCGCGCTCGCTCGTCCGCCACGCAAGCAGCCAGGGCGGGGTCGGAGTCTTGAGACGGTTGCGAATCCGACTTGGGCGGAGGAAGCGGCCAGACGAGCCCGGCCAGTCGTGGAGGCGGCCTCGCTGGACAGCGGCGAGAGCGAGGCGCGGGGGGCGTGGCGGGCGCCGCCCGCTGGAGGCGACGGAGCGGGGGGCCAGGAGGGGGGCGCGGGGGGCGGCGAGCCCCCCCCCTCGCAGCCCGCGGACCAGGAGGGCCTCCGTCATGGCAGACTACCTCCCTCCTCCCTCCCTCCTCCCTCCTCGCTCCCTCCCTCCTCGCTCCCTCCCTCCTCCTCGCTCCTCCTGCTCCTCCTCCTCCTGCTCCTCCTCCTCCTGCTCCTCCTCCTCCTCGTCCTCATCCGCCTCCTCCTCCTCCTCCTCCTCCTCCTCCTCCTCCTCCCAAGGCGGGGGGGCGAGGAAACGCGGGTACCGGCGGGCGGCCCTCCCCCGCTCGCGAACGGCTGCGAGATAAGCGACGAGGGCCCGATCCAGGGCGGAGGCGGACGGCCGCGGGATGCTCGGCGCGGGCCCGATCCAGGAGGCCGGCGGGGTCAGCGCGGCGGTCGGGCAGTCCGCGGGCGGCAGCGAGGTGCACGCCGCTGATTTGTCCAGGAGGCCAGCGGGATCAGCGCACGAGGCGGGCAGCCCGCGGGGGGACGCGGAGACATGGCCGAGGCGCTGGGGGCGATGGCGATGGCGGCGGCAAGCTTTGCGGCGCAAGGAGTCGGAGAGGGAGCTCGAGCGGCGGCGCCTGCGGCGGCAGGGCAAGGCTAGGACGCCGAGGAGGAGGAGGACCCCCCCCCCCGAAACGGAGCCGCAGCCGTGTCCCCATGGTGGAACCGCCCAACGCACGGCAGCCACCAGCAGTGGGTATCGGGCCCCTTGCTCTTTTGCAGCAGGTGCGGCGCCTTCGCGAGGTCGGCGCGCGTGCCACAGCGGCAGGCGAGTGCGAGACGAAGCCCAAGAACAAGAGGGCGGATGGCAGCTTGGGCAGGATGACGCGCGGCCTCGAACCCAACATCAAGGGCGTCTACGGCGCGCCCATCGCGCTGGAGCAGTGGGGGCCCGAAGCTCCAGGACAAGATGGGGCAGGAGGAGCGCGCGGGAAACCGCGCTCGCCACTGCGCGGAGGGTGAGGACACATCCGCCAGAACCACGCGAGGGGAGCCCCCTGGAGATGCGTGAGCCGAGGAGGCCGAGGCCGCTTGGCGCTGGCTCGCCGACGTAGCCCCGCCGCTGAGGATCGCTCGCGGCGGCAGCTCGGCGGAGCGGGGGGGAGCTGAGGTTTGCTCTCTCACGAGTTTCGCTGCGCACCTGCTCGCGCCTGGATGTTGGGCGCGTGCGCAATACCCCGCCTTATCGGTTTCGGCGGAGCTTTCGCGTTGAGTTCCGAACCCTCCCCCCCCGCCGCCGACGCTTGAGCGACGCTGCTGCTGCTGAAGCTCGCTGTCGCAGATGATTAAATAAGCTTACGCCACATCCGCGGACCCCTCTATAAAACTACTGCGCGTCCAGGACTGCATTCCACGAGGCTTGTCCGATTCCTTGAAGGTTCTTGTGGGCGTTTGGGGGCTCTGTTCGGGCTCCCTTGGGGCTTCTTGGGGCAGGTTGGGAGCTTCTTGAGGCAACCTGGGGGCGTCCTGGGGCCGAAGGCTGGAAATGTGGGTTCGGGTTCCACCCGTGGGCCTCCTTTTGGCGCCGTCCGGGTGCCCTGTGGGGCCGACATCGGGGCTTCTTTGGCGGTCTTGGGACCCTTGTGGGCCGTCTTGGAGCTGTCCTAGGCGTCTTTGGGGCCGTCTTGCACGATATGAAAGCGCAAGAGGCGAATATGTTTAAACATGTTTTCCTAAGGCATGGGGCAAATTCCACTTCTCCGGTGCCTTTTGGGAGGCCTCTTGGAGGCCACTTGGGGCGTTTTGGAGGCATCTTGGGCCGTCTGGATGCCATCTTGGGCGTCTTGGAACGATCATTCGACGATTCGGGGCCCTCTTGGATCGTGTTGGGACCCTCTTGGCCCGTTTTGGGGCCCTCTATGCTCCCACGGCGCGTTCGTCTGTGGCCGGGGGGGGGTCAAATCTCCAGTTTGGGGTCGCTAGGGGGGTGCATGGGGGGGGAACAGCCTCACACGCCTAGAGACCCACAAGGGGTCGGCGGATTTGCGGTATCCTCACCCTCATCATTATCACCGTCATCATCATCATCATCATCATCATCATCATCATCATCATCATCATCAGCAGCAGCAGCAGCAGCAGCAGCAGCATTGTCATCATCATCATCATCATCATCAGCAGCAGCAGCATCATCATTAAAAACATCAGCATCATCACCATCACCATCACCATCACCATCACCATCACCATCACCACCATCAGCAGCATCATCAGCATCATTATCGTCATCAGCATCATCATTAATATCATTATTATTATCATCATAATCATCGCCATCATCGCACGCTCGCTTACAGACTCGCGCACTCACCTTGAGGCGGGAACCTCGTCAATGAGTGAATCGCACGGGTTTCTCGAGCGGGAGCCCCTACCTCTGGGGTCCCCGCCCCCGCGTTCGAGCCCGAGGCGGCCCTCGGCAGACCCTGTGAAAGCACTGGTTTGGTGGCACCTTGGAGCCGAAACCAAACAGCGCGCGGTGATGGGCGCCCGACCGATGGCAAGTCCCTCCTCGAGCATGCTTTCTAGGCTCTGACAGTTTACTACTTGCATGGAGGGGGGGGCGGCTTGACCCTGAAGCAAGCCGCGCGACTTGCACGTGCGGAGACCGCGCAAAGTCGAGAAAGGCACCCGCACGCCGGTATTCATCTGAAGAGGGGCGAGGGGGAGGGCGGGGGGGGCCAACGCCATGCAAAGTAAACTTGCCCTTGTCGCCGCCCGCGAGCCAGCAACGGGCGCCGCCACCCCCGCCCGGAGAGCCCCCCCCGACCCCATGACTTTATCATTACATCGGCCACTGGAGGTCTCGACCCATTCCCCCGGATTGGTTCTTCATCCTGAGCCGCTTTTTGACGCTCACGAGGCCCGGTAAGGGCCCCCAGAGGCCGGAAATAGAAAAAAAAAAAAAAACTGCCCATCTTTGTTTTTTGTTCGTTGCCCGAGGGGCTCTGGGCCCCGCGGCTCCTGAGAGGCGCGTGGACACGGTCGTCGGGGACGGGGCGCGCGGCGGCCAGCACGCGCGCGCCGCGCTCGCCGACTTCGAGACCATGCAGGCGCCGCGGGGCCGGCAGGCCGGCGGGCCGGCGGGCCGGAGGCGGGGGGGGGAGGGGGAGGAGGAGGAGGAGGAGGAGGAGGAGGAGGAGGAGGAGGAGGAGGAGGAGGAGAGGAGGAGGAGGAGGAGCAGGAGGAGGAGGAGAGCGAGGAGGAGGAGGAGGAGGAGCGAGGAGGAGGAGGAGAAGGTGGAGGAGGAGGAGGAGGAAGTGGAGGAGGAAAGGGAGGAAAGGGAGGAAGGGTTGACCCAATTGCTGCGTCGGCCGGCGTGTGCCCCGAGCAGTGGGCGGACTCGACGGCTTTGGCGTCGGCTGGGGGTCCGAGGTGGCCCAGCATTGGTTCCGGCGAGCAGGTCAGCCGCGCGCAGAGGGGGGTGGGGGGAGGGGGGAGGGCTTCTTAGAAGCACCCCTTCACCCCCTTGTGCGCGCCGCCAAGCAGGAGCGGGGGGGGGTCGAGGTTCTGGTTTCGGGAAGGTTTTGGTGCCGTTCTCGGAACTGGGGATCTTCGGGACCCGGGACCGTGGAACAGCAACCTAAGCGAAAAATTGTCACTGGATGGTCTTTGGGAGGGGTCCGGGGGCCTACTATGAGCGGTTTGGGCTTCATCCCCCCCCCGTACTGACCGATGTCTTGGGGTCCTTCGAGAGAAGAAACACACTGACCATGACCAAAATGCCCCGGGATTCTGTCGACGCCGATCTTGGTCGTGGTCCATGCTGGCCGTCGCCGATTCGTGAGGGGGTTGCAAGAATTGACGCTGACCAAGATCGACGCTCACGAAGATCGACACGACGTTTCTGCGTGCAATCTTGGTCATGGTCCCTGTTTTCTTCCGCTCCAGTCCCAACCAGTTCAGACGCCCTGGTCGCCGCCAAGGGAGGTTGACCCAGAGGCTGCGTCGGTCAGCGTGGGTCCCAAGCAGTGGTCTCCTGCGTGTCTACTGGCGGGCCGAAGGCAAAGGAGCTCGTTGCGTGATATCGGACCATGTCGGACCCCGAACCAAAACCTTTGGGTCGGTCTTGCAGCTCGCCGCGGCGATCGCGGCGGCCAGGACTCGGGGCACGTTTTTTTGTCAAGGCGGCATGCCTTGTCCTGGCCCCCCCCCGCTCATCATTGTAGATGTGGCTCATGTTGAACAGGCTAGCTAGCGCGGACCTCGAACAGTGTATTTCTAGCGACATATGCTGTGCAGCACATGTGGAGCAATCTATGTGGTGCGATCTATGTGGTGCCACAGCCGCGATGCAACATGTGTGGTGCAGTATATGTGGTGCGATCTAGGTTGTCCATGATTTGATGTGGAGTATGTATTGGGCGATCCATGTTGTCCAGCATTTGCGGCTCAATCTATAGTGTGCAATATATGTTGTGCGATCTAGGTTGTGCAATATACTTGGTACAATCCATGTGGTGCATCATACGTTGTGCAATATATGCAATAGGATGTGTGTGGTGCAAGCAATGTGTGTCCGACGTGCGTGGTGCAATCTATTTGTACATCCCACGCACCCACCAGCAACTTTGTTTGCAAAACCCATGCGGCGGCGAGTGCGACGAGTGTTTGGCGTTGGATGATGCATCTCTGCGGCCGCGCTAGCCCGCGCAAGCTCGCGCGCATAACGGCCGGCTGGTTCGGCGCGACCGACGCGGCCGCGACGGCGTTGAATTATGGGGATATCCTAGCGCGTCGCGCAGGTGGCTCTGACACGCGGGCACTTCAGGCCGAGTCGATGACTCGGGCGGGCGCTGTATCACGGCGACGACGACAATCGCAGACGCGATGATGATTGTAGCGGTCCTGGTGATGACGATGACAATGACGACGTGTGGGCAAATCATGGCGCCGATGCTGATCGCGCCGATAACGATGATGGTGTCCACGCGTCGCCGCTGAAGGCTTTGGAAAGATTTCGGCACGCGCGCGCGGCCGACGGGCGCGAGTGGTCCGCGTGGGGTTGGGCGTGACCCGGGTCGTGCCCCTCCTTTTTCCCAGCACTCGTGCAAGGGCGTTCGAATGCTTTCGACATGCGCGCCCGAAATGCGCGCTTGGTCGAATGTGGATACACGTCGAAACGCCATGGTGCTCTGAAGGCTTCGCAAGAGCGCGCGCGCTGACAGGTTGTTTGGAAAAACCACGTCGCAAAACTGAGTGTGCCTGCGTGTGTTCGTGGTACTCGATGTCGGCAGATCTGCGAAAGCTATTTCGCTAAACTCGAAAAATTGATATAGGTGAGCTTCGCGCGTGCGCCTCGCCGCGTATTTTGCAAGGGACTGTCGGGCATGGAGGATTTGTGTGAACGGGTGTGCGCGCATATTATATGTTGCAATGGGTGGCGGGGCTGCCAATGTCGGCTGGGGCGGGAGGGTGCGAGTTAACTGCTGAACTGCGGTGAACAAGCAGCACATCAAACGGGCGACCCTATAATCCGAGGGGGGATGTACATCCTAATCCTCCTCTACAAAGGAAAACGTGGGTTATGAATTATCTGCGTTGCGATCTACGTTTTGCTCGTTGGGGTGCAATGTGCGCGGCGCACTATGGGCGGTGCGATCTACGCGCTGCAATTCACCCTGCCGAACTTGGAGCTGTCAGTTCCACTGCTCGTGCAAACGCCCCGCGCGCCCACCCGCAATTTGGTGTACAAGACCCACGCGACGGCGATTGCGACGAGTGCTTGGCGCTGCCCAGGCGGACACTTCAGGGCGAGTCGGCGATTTGCGCGCGCGCCCGACGACGCGCGCGCGCGTTTCGTTGCGCTTTTCGACGGGGGTCTTGCAAGCTCATGATTGCAACAAAAAACGAAGGCGCGCACATAGAAACTCGTTGTGCAAGTTCAGATGGCCGATGCCGGCCTTCCTGGGATGGTGTGAGTTCGGAGTCGGATGGATGGGCGATGGGGCAGAAGCGCGTGCAAATTGCAGCGCGACGAGGTGCGCCATTAACCTGGGGGGGGGGGGGGGATCCTAAGAGCTTTCTAGAAAGGAGAATTCACTGATGCTCGCAGTGGGTCGTCAACTCCAGTGCCTGCGCAATCGCCCTGCCTGCCCTCCCGCGACTTGGTTTGCGGAACCCATGCGACGGCGATTGTGCTGAGAGGTTGGCGTTGGCCAGTGCGTCTCTGCGGCCGTGCAAGACCGCGCGCGATCGCTCGCGCGGCGGCCAGCTGGCGTGGCGCGACCGACGCGGCCGCGGCGGCGCTGACTGCTGGGCGCTGCCCAGCGGGCACTTCAGTGCGAGTGAGTGGTTCGGGCGGGCGCGGCATCACGACGACGCCGACAACGGTGGGCGCGATGATGAGAGTGGCGACGCTGGCAGCGATGGCGGCGACGACGACGGCAAGGCCACCGGCGGCGCTGGCGTTGCGTTTCGCCCGCCGACAACGGTGACGATGTCCTCGCGTCGGCGACGAAGGTGTTGGAAGGAGTTCGACATGCGCGCGCGGCCGACTCGCGCGAGTGGCCCGCGCGTCACCATTTGACGCGGATTGCGACCCCCCCCCCCCCCCAGCGCGCGCGAGGGCGCTCGGATCAGTTCGGCACGCGGCGCGCGACGCCCGTTCGGCAGAATTGGATAGCGACGTCGAAGAACGCACGGGTTTGCGAAGACCTCGCCAGAGCGCGCGCAGGCATTGTCTGGAAAACTTCCGTTGGACAACCATGCGTTTGTGATGGGTTTCTGGAGCGCCCGAGAGCGCGCGCGCAGTGGCGCTCGTGCAATTTCGACGCGCGCGCGAGAGGCCCGATTGTTCGCGCACGACAAAACGCGTTGCAATAGCCGGATGGTGTCTTGCGATGTCGCAAAAGCGCGGGCGCAGCCTTCTCGTTGAAGACCCTCGTTGCGAAGCCGTGTGTTTTAACGTGCTTTCGGGGCAGGTTCGGCGCGCGCGCCCGACGGCTCGCCCGCGTGCATTTTTTTGCATTCATTCATGGGGGGCCCACTGAAAGCTCATGATTTGTTATCTAGCACGCGCATGACAATGCGTCGGCGCAGAGGATGGAGGGGGGCCGATGCCAGCCTGCCTGGGGCGGCATGAATTCATATTTCGGATGAGCGATGGAGCGGGACGACGCGTGGATTGCAACGCCAGAGCGCGCGTTTTGGATCGCGCAATCGCCCCGCCCGCCCGCCCGCGACTTGGTTTCCAAAACCCATGCGACGACGATTGCAGTGAACGCTCGGCGTCGGCCGGTGCGTCTCTGCGGCCGCGCTAGCCCGCGCGTGCTCGCGCGCGCAGCGGCAGGGTGGAGCGGCGCGACCGACGCGGCCTCGGCGGCGCCGACCGCTGGGCGCTGCCACGCGGGCGCTTCAGCGCAAGTCGGTGAGTTGGGCGGGCGCGGCAGCATGGCGACGCCGACGGCGGCGCACGCGATGGTGGAGATAGCGATGATGGGCGACGGCGGCGACGACGACGGCGAGGCCAATGATGTCGCCGACGTTCATCGCGCCCGCCGACAACGACGGCGACGTCTTCGCGTCGGCGACGAGGGTTGCGGAAGGAGTTCGACGCACGTGCGCGGCCGACGCGCGAGTGGCCCGCGCGGCTTCATTCGACGCGGATCGCGCCCCCCCCCCCCCCCAGCACCTGCGCAAGGGCCCTCGAGTGAGCTCGGCATGCGGCGCGAGAGGCTCGCTAGGTATATTACTGTATGTATATATATATATATATATATATGTACATATATTTGTGTAGTTATATATATATATATATATATATGGAAATACTTGTGGTTTCGCTGAGAATTCGCAAGGGTGCGACGCATGATGTTCTGTGGAAGCTGCTGTTGCGCAGCCGTGTGTTTTGATGCGCCTTCGTGGCGCTCGCGTTTGAAATCCTTGCGAAACCGAAGTTGGTTGGCGGATTCCGGCATGTGCGCGCGACGACGCGCGCGCGGGCATTTCGCCCCATCTGTTGCAAGGGATTCTTGCGAGAGCACGCGCGCAAGGGCGCTCGGGCGATTTCGACGCGCGCGCGAGACGCCCGCGCTGTAGCATGTGATGGCCA